GTCTATCTATCTATCTATCTATCTATCTATCTATCTATCTATCTATCTATCTATCTATCTATCTATCTATCTATCTATCTATCTATCTATAGCTAGTTAGCTAGCTAGCTAGCTAGCTAATTTTTATCTTCTCCTTTAAAAAAAGGATCTAAGGTGGCTTATAATATTAAAAATTAAACAGTACTAAAAGCTGAAAGCAATAAATTATTAAAATATTTAAAAGTATTAAACAAATATTAAAAAGTCATAGATACGAGAAAGGCTTCCCCTGATGATATTAAAGCCCAGGCAGGACTATAAAGGGAGATGCCATCTTTGAGATGGCTTGGACCCAAGCCATATATGGCTTTATAGGCCAAAACCAGCATTTTACAATTGTGCATTCTGTACGCCCTAATTTCTTCTCCAAAGTTCAAGAAATCCAATACTACATTTGAAGGTGGGTGGGTGGGTGTTCCAGAGAAAACAGCTGTACAAGTATCCAGTTTGGGACTATATTCTAGAGCAGGGTGCCATACCTCCCTTTCCTTCAAGACTGTGGTGGCCAATCTGAGCACAGTTTTCCAGAGTGTGAATAGTGTAACACTGAGGGTGTTCTTGACTGTGTTGACTCAACATACTGTATGAGGAAAGTTTGGGAAGCCCACTCACTACCCTTGTTGCTTCTGAAGAGAAGAAATTCCTCAACCTGTGGAGTCTTTCTATGTGCACCACAAACTAGATTTATTTATTTTTTTGCCTTTGAGGATTCTGTTCATTTGGTCCAAACCACGTCCCTGCTCCTTCTGTCGTCATGTTAATGGCGAGAACGTGGAGGAGCATCTACCTTAGGCTTACCTGTGTGAGCCAAAGCATGAAAGAAAATGGGAGTTTTGGCTCCTGAGGAGAACTTACATGCATTCAGGCTCCAGAAATGGCCTTGCAGACTTTCTGTTTTTCAAGTGAGTTAACTGGCAAGTGAGAAGCAGGGCCAGCACATCTTTCATCATGCAAAGACAGTGGTGGAGGGGAATTTATCTCTCCTCATGTTCTCTTTACCACACGCATCATGGTGTAGCCCTCTGGACAGGTACTTCCCTTTTCCTAACTCAGACCAAGGGGATGTGAAGGTTGAGCAACCCTCCCCCTCATCAGGTTTACAGGAAGTGACACAATGACCTATCCAGAGCCTTTCCTTTTTAGGGTCCCCCAAAATCCCCATTGCCTTGCCGTGCTGCGGGACCTCAAGAAAGTCGCTGTTCTGGAAAACTCTCAGAACACACTCCAATAGAGCATGGCTCTATTAGCTGGGGAATTTTGGGAGGTATAGTTGGGGGGGAAGTAATCTTTCTGAACTCTGTCACCTGTGGGCATGTGTTTCTTACTATCTCAGCCTTAATGCAACCACAGCAGATAAAGACAAGAATCATGCCAAAGAGGAAAAGTTTTGAATAGGTTATTGTGTCCAGTCATGACAAATTCCTGTAAATTGTTACTCGAAGAGCCCCAGATACAGAAGGAGGAGTTGCCCTGTGACAGAGTAAATAACTTGATCCATGCAGGGAAACGCTGACTTGCAGTCTTTGAACCGGGAGTTGGTCTGGTTCACATGAGGGAAACCGACGGCCTTGGAGGCCCTTCTTGCAGCCTTTAGACCCCCTTCCCCTCTGTCTTGCCATCTCACACTCGGTCTTCCTGTTTCCCTCTTGCCTTTAAACATTATTGGAATTCCCACTCGCCCCCCAGCAAGTTGTGACTTCTCGTTGTGTACCCAAAAGAGAAAAGTGGATGGGCAGAAAAAGAGAGCGAGAAAAGGAGGCAGGAGAGAAAGGGAAGCAGAGGCAGACAGGAGAGGAACTGAGAGAAAGAGAGAGAGAGAAGGGGTGGCAGAAGACAAGATGGCAGAAAGAGAAAGGGGTGCGTGGGGTGGGAAGAGTGTGTGAGGGAGATTGATAGCACCGGAAAGGAGGTGGCTGGCTCTTGTTTGGCACTGATCCCCAACCCCTGAGGGAATTAGCCCATCAATTCCTGGAAGTCAACCAGTGACATTAAGGAGCAGATCCAGAGCGGGAAACTTATCATATAATTGACCCTATTGAATTTGGAGATGAGAGTAGAAAGAAGGTATTCCAAACCCAACTTCTCTTGCTATTGCAATAGTATAATGCAAGTGAACAACAGTCGGTTCAGGAGAGATGAAAGGAAGATCGTTTTCTCACAAGGCGAGAATGCGTTCTTAGAATTTGCTGCCACAAGATGTTGTGATGGAAGCCATGGGCTTTGATGGCTGAAGACAGGGGTGGACTTGTGAACTCAATTTGGGTCGCCAAACTGCAGGCAGCACACCCGGCCCAGAACAAAAGAGAGGGGGGGGAGAAAGAAAGAAACTAGGCTGGCATTTCTGATTTCTATTTTATGGATTTATTACTTGGGCAACCGACCGACCAACCAACCAACCAACCAACCAATTAATTAATTGCCCGTGCTTCCCTTTCTCTCCTACCTCTTTTTATCACTCTCTTTTTCTGCCCATTCACTTTTCAGCAAATCATCTAAAATACCAGTTTGGGAGCAGATATCCTGTAGCCGCATGACTTCATAGCTCAGGAGGTCTAACCACTTTCTTGTCTTCTGTAGCTTCAGAAGAATTCAATCCTAACTCTCTTCATTAGTCAGTTTGAGGATGATATTTTTTTAACTTAACAAAAGGATGTCACATACAACTTTCTGTGTACATATGTCACCTTTGTATGTAGCTGGATTTGAAAAGGAGCATGCTGCATCGTCATCATCTTAGAGCATATTGCAAATATCTGCTGGTTAGTGGAGTGCAGCAAAGAATTTCAGAAGATTAGTCTCTGTGTTATACAGGTAAAGGTAAAGCCTCTGACTGTGTGGATCATGAGAAACTCCTATGAGTTGTTCTGGAAAAAAAAATGAATGTGCCTCAGCTCTTGATTGTCCTGATGCATTGCCTATATTGTGGAGAAGAAGATGCTGTTAGGACAAAATGTGGAGAGACAAAATGGTTTTTCTATAGGTGAATGTGTCAGACAAGGGTGAATATTATTGCTTTGTTTGTTCAGTCTGTACACAGAACGTATACGGAAAGCCAGACTAAATTCAGATGAAGGAGGAGTGAAAACGGGTGGAAGAAACATCAGTAACTGAAGATGTTCAGATGACCCCATCTTTCTAGCAGAAAGCAGCAATGATTTGAAATGACTTTTAGTAAAAAGAAAGAAGTACCAAAGCTGGCTACATTTGACTATTAGGAAGACGAAGTCATGATTGTGGAAGAACTACAGAACTTTAAAATCAGCAATGAAGAAACTGAAGTAGTGAAAGATTTTGAATACTTTGTTTGAATCATCCATCCAAATGTAGGCTGCAGCCAAGAAATCAGAAGACTGAGACTTGGAAGGGCATCATTGAGTGTTAAGATGGGTCACTGGAGACCAAGACCAAGATCATCTGCACTCTCCTATTTCCAATCACCATACACAAGTGGACTGGTTAAGAAAACTGAATGGGGGGAAATTGATTCATTTGAAATGTGATGCTGGGGGAGAGCTGTGCAGATAACCTGAGTTGCCAGAAAGATTAACAAGTGGGTCCTAGATGAAATCAAGCCCGAACTACCTCTGGAATCCAAAATGCTGAAACTGAGGCTCTACCACATTAGGTACATAATTGGAAGGCAAGATTCTCTGGAAAAGACAATAATGTTGGAAAAGGTTGAAGGCAGCAGGAAAAACCAGAAGACCAAATACGAGATGGCGTGACTCCCTAAAGGAACCTACAGGCTTGGGTTTGCAAGAGCTAAGCAGGGCGGTTGAGGACAGGGCATTTTGGAGAGCACTCATTCATGGAATCACCATATATTGGAGGCAACTTGACACTACCTAATAACCACCACTACCCTCTAATAATTGAAGAAATGTGAATTAAGCTGGTTTGCTTTAAAATGTGAATGTATCATCCTGGAATATTCTTAGAATTGCAGAGCTGGATGGGACCCTATGGATCATTGAGTCCAGCACCTGTCAAGGAGGCACATTAGCAGTGATCAAAAGGTATATCTTTATGCAAGGGATGGGAAATGTTTTTCCTGCAGGAAGAAGAAGTCTAGAAACACAGATGCACATCACCTGTTTTCTCACTTTGTACTTACAAGATGCCTACAGGGCATCCATGGTTCATGTCCCCATGGTGGAGTGGGGAAGTGGGAACTACCTTTCCTTGAGTCCAGCACCTGTCAAGGAGGCACATGAGCTGTGATCAAAAGGTATATCTTTATGCAAAGGATGGGAAATGTTTATCCTGCAGGAAGAAGTCTTGAAACACAGATGCACTTCACCTGTTTTCTCACTTGGTACTCACAGATGCCTACAGGGCATCCATGGTTCATGACCTGTCCCCATGGTGAAGTGGGGAAGTGGGAACTACCTTTCTTTTTCTTCCAGAACATCCACACCATCTCAAGACGTTCCAAACACCTTAAGCCACTGGTTCCTGATCAAGCCATCTTGGCTTCGCTTTTAGGTTCAGGGCGGTGCCTTCAGAGAGGGCATGGGGACTCGAGAGAGCCAGAAACTGCCTGTGATTTATTTAGAGATTTTCTCCATCACATATTGTGGTATTCTGCACATGGGTGCACATGAAGGCAACATGGAAAACATTCCAGATCAACATCTTGTTAAAGCCAGCAGGGACTCTTAGCCTGTGCTTTATTTATTTCCTTGGCGCTTTTGTGAGAGAACTTCCTGCTCAATCATGGCCAGTGGGTGCAATAGTCTCATCATTTTTGTTTCATGTTTGCATCTTGACCCGGTGCCTAGACCTCAGTTTTATTTAACTCTGAAGAGGAAGAAACCTACGGGGAAAGTTAAGTATTTTAGTCTGAAGCAATTTCTCGGGTTTACCGTGGGGCTTTTTGAGTCATTAATATTGGCAAGTTCCCTCTTGGTGGCGTGGTTATAAAAAGAAGGACTTCTTGCTGCCCTGCTCAGGAGGAACTTCAAAGGGCCACCATGAGGATGAGACTGGGTCTGATGCTTGTCTTAGTGCTGGTTGCGAGCAGCATCACTCCACTCCACGGTAAATAACCTTGCCTTGTTTTAGCTTTAATCTAAAGTAAAGTTTAGCGACAAAATCTCCTTTTCTCACTCAAAGAAAGTCTCAGGAACAATGAAACCAAGAGCAAAGGCAGTATTCTTGTGCATGTATAGAGTGCTTTTTTGGCACCCATAAGCTTGGGGGTTAGATGGAAGTGCTTTGGAAGGCCAACTTCCAGAACGATTTGTGTTTGCTCAAATTACAGATGCTCTGAATCTAGGGTTTAGCATTGACACTGGGAAGAGTGATTGTCCTGAATCTTGTTGGAAATCCCAGATCAAGCAGACCCTTTGAAGCAATGGAATTTACATAAGTGTTGATTCAATGGGTTTAGCCGCCCCGAGTAGACGTGGTCTAGAGGGGAGGGGTATAAATTTAATAAATGTAATAAATAAATGTAATAAATAAATAAATAAATAAATAAATACATACATACATACATACATACATACATACATACATACATACATACATACATACATACATACATACATACATACATACATACATACATACATACATACATACATACATACATACATACATACATACATACATACATACATACATACATACGCTAGCTGGGATTGTATCAGTAGGATTTGTCGTTGTGACTGTACCATCAAGTCAATTCCAATCAATGGTGATCTTAATGGGTATGTGAGTGGCTTCCCATTGCCTCTCCCCTACTCGTGTCTTTCCCATGGCTGAGCAGGGATTTGAACCCAGGTCTCTTGAGGGTTTGGCACTCTACCTGCTACACCAGACTGGCAATTGGATTTAGCCCAATGTTTTTTTTAATTTGTATTTCCCCCTATTGGCATGTGAAGTGGGAGAGGTAAGAACATGGTAGACATGCTATGGGAGGCTAGTATTTGTCATGGCTCTCTCCCGTGTGGCTTTTTTGTGTGACAGTGAAGAGTGAAGTCTAATGTGGCTGGGATGGTGGTGGGGGGGTACACAAAGTGCCTTGGGGGCCGCAAACAGCCTCCCAAACTTCACTTTGCCCTCTTCCCACCAATCTAGCGAGGCAGTTGCTCTTTGAGCTTCATATTCTGGGCAGGCTCATAGCAAGATGATGATGATGGTGGTGATGATAGTAATAGTAATAATAGTAATAATGATGATGATGATGGTGGTGGTGGTGGTGGTTATTATTATTAGTATTACTATATAATGATGATGATGATGATGATGATGATGATGATGATGATGATGATGATGATGATGATGATGATGATGATGATGCACCATCAAGTCAACTCTGCCTTACGGTGACCCTTTCCAGGGCTCTCCAGGTAGAGAATACTCAAAAGTGGTCTCCCATCCTGGGACGGTGAAGCTTGCCTAAGGCCACACAGGCTGGCTCTTTTCCTTGTAAACTTAGTGGGGAATTGAACTCCCCACCTCTAGCTCAGCAGCCCGATGCCTAAACCACTGAGCCATCCAGCTACAGTCGTGTAAAAAAGCAGCATTGTTTCTAATTCATCTGAATGTATCACGCCAGGCTTGGAAAAGTTACCAGTTTGGACTACGGCTTCTACAATCTCTCTGCAAACAAGGTTACCTGAGCTTAGGGGATTCTGCAGGTGGTAGTCCAGAGGAGTAACTTTTCCACGACCTGCATACAGCGAATGAGATCCCAGTTGCCCCAGTTTGGAGAACACTTAAGCTGCCCTGATTTCACCCTGGGAATCCTCTGCTAGAGAGTTCTAGTGCATAAGGAGAGAATTTGAGGTGCATCCACAGTTGACAACTAAAATGGCATCTGCTTGTTCTGCCGACACACGAGCGCTGTTCCTCCCTCTCGGTGTGTGCATTCCCTGGATTTTTTTTCAGAAGAAAACATTTTTGACATCCAGATTTCTGCTGTTTCTTTGTGTGACCTGTCACAACAAATTGATGAAGGGCTGGGTCAGGGACCTCATTAACTGAGGTATATCTGAGCACCTTGTCATTTAGGTGCAATTAGATGCAGCAAGTTATGTTAACCGTCTATAAACACTGATAGGACGCCAGCCAATAATATATTGGACATTAAAAGAAGTTCCATCCTAATGTTCTGTGTCAGGAATGTTTTGGAATATTCTCAAAGAATGGGTTAAAAAATACAAGTTATTTCAGACCCTGAAATGTTGGGGTGCGCATGTGGAACTGAAACGCGCCCAAGTTGAGCGTCTTGGGACACACTCCAGGCTTTTGTGTGAAAATAGCAAGGCTGGGTGAGAAGAATGGGTGTCACATCTTTTTTTTGTTGTTCCATGCATTGCATGTATATGCAATTGTTCTGTAAAAAGGATGGATGAAAACACATCGACCACCCATCATGAGCTCAATTATTTCGATTGAAGCCCAGCATCAGCTCTGAATAATACCAATTCACTTGCGCAATACATGAAACCAGTCATAATTTCCCATAACTTCTTCAGTTTGCAGAATATGACTACGTTTTCTTGGGGCAGAATTAATTTTTTTTAAAATGGAGAATGAAATTATACCTGGTTTATTGTGTGGATCAGAACCTGGCTGGGGTAAAAATACATACAATGGTTATCAAGCAAGCAGGTTGCCCTGTTTGTTGGGACATGAGCTGCATGACTAATTCCAGGCTTTGGTGGAATCGCAGGTGTCTTTCTCTCTGTCTGCAGCGCATTATCATCTCATCATGATTTGTTGGCATTATGGACCTAAATTAGCAAGTGCTGGATTCAATCCTGCCTCTGTCCTGAAACTCTTTGGCTTCCCATAGCAAATTCACTCCACCTCACTCACCTGGAAGTTCTCTGGATAAAAACATGATGAATTAAAATTAATGATGAATTAATATTGGGAATGATTAAATCTGATAAAATGTCATGGCGCTTGCACGCAGGTCTTGCAATGGAAACCTCCGTGGTCCATGTGGGAAGATGTAGATGCTTGAAGTTCAGCACATCAGCCTTCAGCCCTAAACAGATTAAATCCATTAAAGTGATTCCTCATGGCATACGTTGCCAAAGGACGGAAGTCATGTAAGCAAAGCTACCCTTGGTTTTGAAAGACAGTTAAATAGTGAGGGATGCAAAACAAATTACTTTTTTTAAATTTTGTTCCAGATTAACTACAAAAAATAACTGGAAAATCTGTGTCCAGCACAATACTCCCTGGGTGCTCGGATTACTTAAGCAGGTGACAAAAAGGTACCATCTTCCACTTTTTTGGAGAAATATGTTTCCATAATATTGTTTTGGGACTAAATGTAGGTTTTCCTGTTCTCTTTAAGAGTATGGCCTCATTCTAGAGCCGAAAATTTGGCTTAAACCTGTTATTGAGAGTTTCAGAATTCCCAGAATCTAAGGGCCTGTCTACATGGACATCTGTCCTGCTGTTTGATGCACTGATGGATCAGTTGGTTTTTTTTCTGGTCTTCACACATGGATATGGCTGGAGCAGACCAATTTGACCCAAACAATTAGTTTACAAGCTAATTACACAAGCTATTTTTGTAACCCATTAGGAGGCTCTAGCAAATGTAGTTGGAACAGACTAAACCAGAGCATTGCACCTCCTTCCAGCGTCAGCTTCTCGTATCCTTATGAGCTGCTTCAGGTTATCAGAAATTGAACACTTCCCCTAATCATCTGCGAAGGGTCAGAGGAAGTAAACTATTTTTTATTGCTTCTGCTAAATAATCATTGACGTGTTGAACCACTTGGATTAAATTTAAATATATACATATATATATTGCCTATCTGTGTATTGCGGAACAAAACTGCAGCTGTGGGCAGTTTCTTGATCAGCTATACAGACAGCCAAATAAAAATCATCTAGCAGATGTAAAAAAAGTAATTTCACTTTCCCTGACCCTCTGCAGATGATCAGGGGAAGCATTTAATTGACACAAAAAGATCAATATGCCATTCAGACGGGAGTGTGCCAAATGGCATAACACTCCTCCTCGACCACAACTAACCCTTTGCAGGCTGATTCCGCCGGCACCAAAGCAGTCAGCCTGGTCAGACCCTAGTGTAGCCACTAGTCACACTGGCTCAGGGGATTCTGGAAACTGTAGTCCAAAATGGGAGCATTTCAATCCTCTCTCCGCAGCCAGAATGACAATCATACAAACTCTTTGAAGTGTAGGTTACTGACACTTGTTCTTCTGGTGTGCTGGTTCTGTTCTGTTTTTAAGTGAAATGCAGTGAGGCTGGTAGGTTTTTTAATTCCCTTCCCCAGCCCAATCATAGTTGAAAAGTAGAAAGAGAGGATTGCTGTTGTTGCCGAAATGAGCTTGAGTGAAAACTCTTGAACCCTTTTTTGCTCAAAGGAATTCTTTATCTGTGCTGGTAACATAATTATAAATACCCACAACAGTGCTGATAGAACACCGCTTAATCATTCTAAAGTGTTCTTAAATAAGTACTCTGTATACCCCTAAGGGTTCAGTGTTGTTGTTAGAACTTTGGAGAAAGATGCCCGAATTTCTGCACAGCAACGAATAATTCCACATTTATTTTAATATAAATAACTGATGTTGTTCCCAAGCATTTCAGTACTTTTTTTAATGATTGAAGTATTTTTACTCTGAAGAAACCTGTGCATGCTCACTGTTTCCTTTTTATTCACTGTAGACAATGAAAACATGGACTTTTCTTGACCCAGGAAAATTAATGAGAAGCTAAAAGCATGGAAGAAATCATCCTAACCTGCCACTCTCAGTTTGCCTTCTAATCATATAGTTACCTCTACACAAAACAGCAGTTTACAACCATCGTACCCTTTGGAGGTTCAGAACGATGGGCGTCAGCAAGTGACTTTATGCTTTTAGGATAACACATGGCATCGGTATTGTAAATGTGTCTTAAAAAGCTTGACATGTCTGGCAAAACCAACTATTAATTATATTAATTATAAACAGCCACTGATTTCTCAGGTACCTACAGATCTTATAGCAAAGCTGCCAAATACACCTTGAATCATTTGAGTTGTACTTCTGCTTTTAAATGAGCCACTTTCTAATTCTCATGTTTTAACATAATACACTCTACCTTTCTTCCGGTTCCACCACTCTTTTCCCAGTAATAGGATCTTTCATGGTGTTTACTCCCACAGCCTATATTTATGAATGTAGGAACTGCTTTGATGGGTCAATAGGGAAGTACAGTATTTCAAAGTCCAGCTTTCTGTCTTTAAAACAAGCACCAGCCTTTTGCCCCTAAGTTTCCTTATACTGTATAAAGAGGCCACCAGTTGTCTTGTGGGAAGAGACAAAGAAATAGCTAAAGGACGGTCAAGCCTATTCTGATGAGTTTGTTTAGTTCTAAATCATTGGACTTTGGCACCTATGCTGGTAAAGAACTCCCAATGTTAAAAAAGAATTGTCTTCTCAAACTCTCATGCACAAGGAGCCTTATATGGGGTAGCAAAGCAAAGCAAAGCATGCTGGTTATATACTGCCCCATAGTGCTTCAAACACTCTCTGGGCAGTTTACAAGTTAATTACTCAAGCTACAAATTGTCCCCAAGGAAGCTGGGTACTCATTTTACCAACCTCAGAAGGATAGAAGGCTGAGTCAACCTTGAGATTGAACACCTGGGATTGAACCCCAGGTTGTGAGTAGTTTTGGCTGCAGCACAGCAGTTTAACCACTGTGCCACAAGCCTGGTTTGCAATTGCCATGTTGTCCACTGAGGCCTACAACGCTGCCGCGCTCTCCTCATTGCTTGGGTTGATTAGCAACATGCTCTTTAACCCTCTATTCACGCCATGCAAAGAGGAAGAGGGTCTGAGCTGTGTGAGAACAGAACAAAGGCAGGTGTTTCCTAGCCTGACAGATCACACAGTGGCCAAACAATTTCCTGTGCAATGTCCATCCTTGGCTGTGGCAATTCTCTGTCTTGCGTTGCCTGCCAACGTTGTACTGTAAACAAAGGCCTCTGCTACTAGACATAACAGACGACACCCTGGTCAACCATACCGCCCTGAATTCCCTTAATCCCACCTGGTGGTTGGAAGTGAAGCAGGTTAAGGAATGACTAAGGTTCATGTGGGAGGCTACCAAGGAATACCAGGGACCTGCTTGGAATCCTGGGGAGCTGGTGCCAGACAAAGCTGGCCATGATGAGCTAGATTAGTGGTTCACAATCCTGGGTAACCCAGGTGTTCTTGGACTGCAATTCCCAGAAACCTTCATCACCAGCTGTGCTGGAGCTTTCTGGAAGTTGCAGTCCAAGAACACTTGGATACCCCCAAGGTGGGAACCATTGCTCTTGATGAATCAATGAACTAATTCTGTACAAGGTTGTGCTCTACATTCCACCATGATGGGAACACTCACCTACCTGGGAAGCTGGCAAAGCCCTATTTTTTGACATCTTCATTGATCACTATTGTGTCCTCTTGGCTTGTGTGCAGAAACGTTAATCAAGGGTACAAATGAAAAATGGTGCTGTGCTAAATAGTTTACACACTGAAAGAGAAAAGGCAAAAACATGTTTGGCTCCATCTCAGCCAAAATGGTTAAGATGGTCACCAGTTGATTTCAATTTAATCCAATCAAGCTGCTTGCAACCCACTCAACAGATTTCTGATGCTCTGAGAAGCAGTGAAACAAAGGTTTTATAATTAGCAGTCAAGAACTAGTTCTAGTAAGGATTTGGGAACAAAAACTAATAGCTTTTTTCCCAAGCAAAACTCTTGTTGGGGGTCCTGGTCAAAGAAAGAAAAGAAATAAGGAGGTAGCTTTTCAAGGCAGGAATAGCACCATGAATTATTGTTGAGTCCAGCATTTCTCCCCATTTGCCACACACGGTCAACCAACAATGAACATGAATATTTTCTTCTTAAAATGCATTTATATACAAACACACCCTTTTTATAACACCAGTTAACATGTATTATAAAAGTGATTTGCAAAAGCTTGTTAAGGCAATGCTGTTTAGAATTAAACAGGGAGAAGCAAATGATTCCAAGTATGGTGGTTGTAGGTTTTTCGGGCTGTTTGGCCATTTTCTGGAGATTTTTCTGGAGATGCCAGCCACAGAGACTGGCGACATGTTAGGAAGAAAAATCTCCAGAAAATGGCCAAACAGCCTGAAAAATCTACAACAACCATCGGATCCTGGCCGTGAAAGCCTTTGAGAATATGATTCCTTCATTTTTGCACAAAAAGCCACAGGGGTGGCTAAGATACTCAGTCTCCTAATCATTAGTCTGCAGGTGGAGGGGCGCCACCTTTTCAAATTTGTTTAAATCTGTGAACACCATAAAAAGGGTAGCTTTGTTTTGCTGTACAGATACAGGGGGAAATGCCAGCATTTCATGCACAAGTGGGTTATGAAGGAATGAGAAGCCATCTCGACACCAATCTGAACCAAGACTGGTTGGCTTGCTTAGCAACTAAAAGAGGAAAACAAAGAAGGAACTTCAGCCATTTACAAGGCATCCCCATCCTTTAATTCCTTTTCTTCTCCACCCTCTCCCTCCCAAAAACATTACAAAAGATTGCGTGTTTTTGTATTATTTAATAAACTGGCTCCTCTGCAGTTCATTCATATACAATCACAGGCGAATTTTTAAACTCCATTTTATACAAACATCTCAAAAAATAGTTGGGAGTGAAGTATGGTAAGAAATATTGCTCACACTGCTAGTTAACATGCACGTATGAGAAGAAAAAAATGTTACTGCATAATTCCAGAGCGGGAAAAATACAAGTGCTTCCAAAATGAAGATAACAGCAGATGACCTGGAAGGCAAGCCAGCAGGTAGGGTCTTTCTTGGTGCAAGCTCAGTTGAAAGGAACAGGAACGAATCGTTCTCATTCATTCCGATGGGGTGCGTTGAAAAGAACACCCCACTAGCTTGCATCCTTACAAAAACAAACTGAAAATTATATTTTTCATGCTGTTCTATTTTCCGGTACTATACTGTAATTGCTTTGTCAATTTATATATACATGGCCGTGTACGTAACACTTCTGAGGTATGTACGAAAAAAATATCTGCACCAGTGTTGAGGAGGAGACGGGGAATGTTATCTTTGAAAGGAGAAATTTTATTGGTTTTTTCCCCAAAAAACTATCTCACACTTTGAATAGAGTTACATTAGAAGAAACACAGGGCTGCTGTTCCAAATGGCACCCCACTGTCAAGTTTGCTCCTGGACCCAAATCTAATACAGCTTTTTCCATGGACTGATGCCATAAGTCCTATTCAGCCATTCTAGAATAGGTTTAAACAAATAAGTGGGGGCGGGGGCAATACTAGCTCTACCTCTTCTGCTGCTTCCATGAAAAGCCATGAGTTTGGAGCAGGGAAACTCCTGCATGCATGGTGGCTCTTCATGTGTTTCTGATTTTCTACGGCTCTGGCTCATAAGGAGAGCCCTCCCATGTAAGGGAAGATCTCAGGCTTGTTGCTTCTCACACAACTAAGACCACAAGTGTGTGTGTGTGTTTGCGCGTGTACACTCTCAAGGCTACTCTGCTCTCTTCCTCCTCACATGTTTAACAGATGCTTTAACAGAAGGCCTGAACCGGGTCAACATAAGGTTAGAATGTTAACCATGTCCCTTCCCTTGCAAGAGAAAGACAGTTATGGCCAGCAGATGGCACACCACTAAAACGACACACCAAGTTGTGTCATTTTAGCAACAGTACTGCATTTTTGTACAGCATAGTTCCATTTGGAATTTTTTACACTAAATCACTTCCAACTGATGAAGGTGAAAAGCCTTTCCAGCTGCAGAAATCTTTGAAAGCAAGCCGTGGTCTTCAATGGAGCAACTCAATTTTCCCCACTCATCACCATATGATAACAGAGGAAGTATTTCCTACTTTAGCCTGATTCCAAATTTTGTTTGTTATTTTATACACAACTGGCAAATGGGTAAGAACTGGGGGGGAGCTGGAAGTAGACATTTTATACAAGAGACTGTGCCTTCGAATTTAAAACTAATTTTACTGTTTTTCCTCTTTTAAAATCATGTTTTTCCTTTTTTAAATGTATGAATGAGACAAATATAGGCTCTTTAAAATCTTTCATTCACATAATGAAAACAATTCTCATTTATTAAAAATATCACATTTTGAGACTAGAAACAGTAAAGTGCATGAAAAGTTTAAAATATAAGCTCAAGGATTCTTATATAGCAGCAAAGAAGCAGAATACAGAAAAACTTAAACACCCCTCCTTGTCACTTTGCCTTTGTTACGGTTGTTTGAAATGTAAAGCATGGCTCAATCTACTAAAAGGCTACAGATAAGCAACCTCCATTCGTTTTAACCAACAAACGTATGACATTCTGTCCAAGCACAACCACGAAAATCAGAGGATGCTCAGCAGATGCCCAGGGCAGATTACAGCCACGGTCTTCTAAAAAGACATTATTACGATTTTTCCATTCTCCGGACGCACAAAGAATTTTGAATAGCCACCACGTGCCTGGAAAAGTTTCTACACACATCTTAGAGAGAGCATTTAACTGCTAAGAATGAAAAGACAACAGCTTTTTTTAAAAAATCCAATCTTGATAGAAAACAGGAAAACTAAAGAAAACAAAATAGATAATTGAAAGCATGAGATGGCTATTTGGCGACTAGGGTCAGGAAGAAAACAATCATTTGAGGAATGATTATGGAACACACTTTCTCACTTTTATGTATGAAATGCCCTGCCTCATGTATGGAGGGTAGAGAAGCAAGCTATGTCCCCAGTCCCACCCCGGGTGCCCTTTCCTTGGCTAAGTAATTCAAAATGTTTTCTGGGGAACAGAGAAGAGATACGCAATTTAAAGGAAGAAGAAGAAGAAGAGGGCATTTGGATCAGCCTTGAACATCTGGTTAAAATCAAACTGAAAAATTATTACCGCTGATTTTAAATCCCCCAATTTACCTTTCCACTGTTTTAAATTCTAAGGTCAGGAAATCCCAAATAACGCTGTTTCTCTCTGATCAGTGGTCTTGTCAAGTCCATCAATGTTTTTTTCTGCTGGGCCTCTTATAAAGTGATGCAATTCACAATGCAGCTATTCTTCAAAATTTTATCAGGAAGACTACAGCTGCAGAGAAAGCACAGCTGCCATCCAGCAGCTGAGCCCTACCGGGAACCTTTCCAACTGCCCAAACTGAACAGCTTGTAACTTCTACAAAATTAATGTTTCAACAGATCAGAGGAGAGAAAAAGCAGCCCTCCTGTGTGAAAACTCCAATTGCTTTGGTAGGCCTGCTCAGGGTGCAGTCTTACTGACTTGAAACGGGAGTTGTACGCCCAGCAGCAGACTCTGGTGGACTGACCCTCAACACAATTAGATGTTTGTGGGCAGATTAATTCCCACCCCTGCCGTGTCTGAAAGTTATGTTCTGTACAATTGTTGTTTCTTTCTAATTTAATTGAATATTTCCGGGAGGAAGGGTTTTTGCAGTCTGTACTGTGAAGAATCTGTAAATAAAGTTCAAGTGCTAATTCCAATGCTCTCTCTTTTCCCATGGGATCAACTATCTACAGTGTCAGGATACTCAAAACAAACACAAAACTGAGTATTAGATGGGAGAGAGAGGTATGGCTCCTTTTAATAGAACAGGAAAGAAAGCATTAGCTATGAACGGACACATTCATACAAATCCTCCCATCTGATTTGCCCACTTATAAAGACAGCTTCCCAATGAAACAAAGTTGCTAGCTTAAAATATATATTTGTGTATGTGTGTGTATGTACATATATCTCTTTTAAAAAAAACTGGAAAAAAGGAACAAACAATAACTTTGGTTCCAGCCCTAGTGCCAAATGGTACCAGTATGCACCGAAAATGTGCAAAATTGTATCATTAACACACATAATGAGAGGAGCTTGAAGCAGCAGCTTTTAAAAGGTTGGCCATACTTCACTCCTACATACTTTGATTTACAACTGTACAGGTCCATAAACAAACGGACAGGTCCCAGCCCTCAAAAGGGGGCAGGGCTCCACTACCTCCGGCTAGGCAGGTGGATGCCATTGACGGGAGGCAGGAAGGGAGGGTGAAGCTCAAGCTGCGTCAACAGGGAGAAGTGGTCTGAAGGGATGTGCGGGTGGGGGCACCCCGTGATGTTGTTCTCCACCAGCCATTGAGGATCCAAAGGCCCCAGGACGCCGAGGACGTTCATGTGAGTGTTGGAATAAAAAATGTAGTCAATCACACCCTAAAGAAGAGAGGGGGCGAAAAAACAGAAAGTGATTTGTAAGAGAATCCCTTGAACAATCAGATTGCAAAGTGGCTATCGCTTCATTTTTAATTTTTAAATTATCTGACTTCACAACAGACGCAGGCTACAGTCCATAAAAGTGAGTCTTTTGCAGACAGGTTGTATGTGTATTTATCATGTGGGTCTGTAGGAGGGTCACTACGTGTCCTACAGACCTGCATTGGACAAACCTCATCCTACATCAAAGACTCAGGACATTTCATAAGCAAGATCAGCATCCTAAAACTCAACCCTGGGGACAGACTGATCAGCTTTGACGTAGTATCCCTGTTCACTAAGGTACCGATAAAGGACACCCTGACACTCATCCAGCAGATATTTCCAGAAGACATCAAGGCCCTCTTCCAACACTACCTAACAACCCGCTATTTCCAGTGGGATAATGAATTCTATGAACAGAAAGATGGAGTGGCCATGGGCAGCCCCCTCAGCCCGGTTATAGCAAACTTCTACATGGAGCATTTTGAAAAACTTGCCTTGGCTTCGGCACCCCTTGCACCCACAAGTCTGGTTCCGATATGTGGATGACACCTTTGCAATTTGGAGCCACAGTGAAGAAAAATTGGAAGAATTTCTCAACCATCTCAACAGCATCCACCAAATATACAATTCCCCATGGAAAAAGAAACAGAGGGCCAACTCCCGTTCTTAGATGTCATGGTCATATGCAAAACTGACCTCCGACTGGGACACAAGGTCTACAGAAAACCCAACCACACAGACAGGTACCTACACAAAAACTCCAACCACCACCCACAGGAAAAAAGAGGCATAATCAAAACACTGCTAGACCGTGCAAATCGGAACTGTGAAGCTAACTTTCTCAGTACTGAACTCAACCATCTGAATTGGGCCCTATAGGCAAATGGCTACTCCAAAAATGAAATCACAAGAGCCATCAAACCAAGAAAACAACACAGAACTGAAGAAGAAAAACAGCCATCCACAAATAAAGTATTTCTGCCATACATCAAAGGGGTCACGGACCGCATGAGGAAACTTTTGAAAAAATACAACCTATAAACAGTATTCAAGCCCACCACAAAAATACAACAAATGTTACGGTCAGCAAAGGACAGAAGGGACCCCCTCACCACTGCAGGAGTATACCAGATACCTTGCAGCTGTGGCCAGGAATATATTGGATCCACAAAACGAAGCATTCACACCAGAATCAAAGAACACGAGAGACACTGCAGACTAAAACAACCAGAAAAATCTGCAGTAGCTGAACATGCCCTAAAACAAGCTGGACATGAAATTCTATTTCAAAATACTGAAATACTGGACAACACCAGCAATCACTACGTCAGACTGCACAGGTAAGCCATTGAAATCCACAAGCACCAGCAGAACTTCAACAAAAAAGAGGAAAGTTTGAAACTCAACAAAACTTGGCTCCCAGCTCTCAAAAATACAGCGTGTAAAAGGTCAACGAACTCTACCCAGCCACAAGGACTGGGGATCACTACACACAAGAGACCAGCTAATGACACCCATCAATCACAGTGACAGATAATCTCTCCTCTTTATCACAGTAATACACCCACAACAACACACTAATCACCCATCTCCCCAAAAGGACAAAAACCTATCTCACAGCCATAAATACTCCACTCCCAAGCCAACTACACCAGAGCACAGTGCTGTCCTCTGAAGATGCCGGCCACAGAGACTGGCGAAACGTTATGAAGAACAACCTTCAGAACACAGCCAAAGAGCCCAAAAAACCCACAACAACCATTAGATCCTGGCCATGATAGCCTTCGCGAAAATAATCTAACTATTGAGTTTATTCATTTAGGCTGAATTGACGAATGATGTGGCCATTTACAAGGTTATGAAGAAGAGGGAAATGAACCAAAGCTGGAAAGAGAATGGGGATAACTGAAAGAACCGTAACATATTTCTATAGAAGTCTGATCACAAATGATTGAGCAATTCACTTGCAGAACCTCACTGGGCATTCTATGCATGACAATTCTCTCTCTTGGATGGTGTTGATTTTACTAAGTTGCACAGTAGAGTGAGGCTACAATCCTCTTTCTACAACTGGTTTTAGCCTAGTGTCTTTACTGTAAGCTGACTGGAAGGGTTTGGATCATTTCTGCCAGATGAGAACTTACTTTGAAATCAAAGGTATAATTAGTATAAGGCATCAAGTTGTTTTCATAGGCGCTCTTGAGTTGGAAGCCATGAGTGATTCTTCCTTCAGGAGCCCCATTCTTCCCATTGCCGCTGAAGTTCATGAGGCATTCGTTATACCGCAACTCCTTGAAGTCTTTATGGTTGTCAGCTACTATTCCGTTACTTAAGTATTCTACAACACCTGTTTTTCAAAATGAAACAGATTGTTTGTTGTTGCCTAATACTGATATGAAATTAAAGCACATGTTTCTCTTTTTGTAAGGCACAGAACTCCAGACCTTGCTCCAGCAGCAGGGAGCTGACAGTGGAAATGTTTTTCTGATCACAAAGTAAGAAATATCACAAAAGTAGTTACAGCCGCCTGATACTTGCTAGTAAAGAAATAGCAATACCCGTAATATTGAAACTCACCAGTTGTGCTAAGAGCACCTGTAATTAGAAGAGAAATAGTATTTCTTTATTTAATGTTTGGTAGTATCATGTGATTTACCATTCTCATACATAACTTTTCCAGGGCAAACATCTGGATGGGAGACTTATCTGGATCTGCAAAGGCCATTAACTCTGCACGCTTTCTCTCACCCAGGACCTGAGTACTAAAAGTGCTATTTTATTCAAGCCGAAGGTCTTAAATATCCATTGACATTAAGACACTGAGAATTCTGACGTGAGTACAGATTCTTAAGACAGCTGTAAACCTAAATCAACTTGAGATTCGTCTCTGACTAAATAGGTGTAAAACTGAGCTGCATATCTCAAAAACAGCTCAATGAAAAATCAACAAAACTGAAAAGTCCCCTTGAATTTGTTTCTTGCTTTATCCCTAGCTGACCTGATACTCTCTGCTATCTATGCTGTGCATGAATCAGTTCTACTGCAGGAGTAGATGAAAGCAGTTTGTGATTTTGGCAATGTAAGCTGAAATGCATTTTTACTTCTAAGCTTGTTCAATGCTCAATACTAACACGGAATCCTATCAATGTTCAAAACATCCCTCAACCTTTCCCTTTCACTCCTCTAGGCACTATGTTAAGATTATTACAATGACTTTTGTTATCTAAATCCTGCAGCTGCTCAGTTAATTTGCTAACAGGCATCTCCTGTGCTTCCAATATTATTCTCAACTCTAATGTTACAAGCCTCCAATTCTTTCTGCCATTTTTCTGACTTAAGAATCCTATTACCCCAATTGTCAAATAGCATTCATTTCTGTAGAAACCCCTTTATCAAAAGGAATTCAGCAATGGTAGCAATTTAGTTCCCATATATGTTCTTTTAAATGCCCAAACTAAGCACAAGAAGAGAACTGTCACTCCTGTGAAGTCTATTAAGAACCCTTTTATAACATAGTTGGGAATACATGGCCTACATGTGGCCCTTGTCCACACTGTGGAGCCTGCGGACCGCCACCCACTACCTCCCACGGCTAAACTACACGGAATAGATTGCTGTTAAACAGTGATTCTCATTAGGATCATGAGGTGGAGAGGGAAGGGGGTGTTGAAAGTTGAGATTCCCTTGCAGCCTGAAAATCCTGATCAGGATCACTTTGCAGTTTGGAGACTTTAATCTTCCCCACACTCCACAACTATACAGAGATCTGCATGTACATAAGACTGAGAGACAAAGAAAGAGGGGGAAAATGAGAGAGAGAGAGAGAGAGAGAGAGAGAGAGAGAGACAGAGAGAGAGAGAGTCCTGGCCCCACCCATCTCTTCCCCATTTGCTACCACCATGCCCACTCAAACAGTCTCTGAAATGTTCTGCAGGAGTTCACGCAACCCTCAGCATACAAAGGCTGTCCACCTGTGATATAAAGGATCAGCCACTTTTAAAGGTAAGGGCCACAGGTCAATTAGTGTTCACATAAGGGTTGTGTAAGTTTGCTGTGGCTACTTGTCCAGGTGCATCACAATTGCACAATTGGCCATGGTAAATTATGTAAAACCTGTGAAAATATTCATAGGATTTTGAGCAAGATATACACCTTCTAATTTCCCTCCCCAAACACCTAACAACAGCAATAACAACAACAACAATAATGACACCAAACAGTTAAAATATACTATAGTATTTTAAACAAAACACTGAAAATAACCCTCACCCTCCCCCATACGGAACCTGAGGAGAAAGATAATCCTGGATTTTCCCAATAAGTATAAACTCAGCGATTAAACATACATACCTGAATCAGGTAGCGAGTTCAGATCTGCACACAGCACCAGAGGGATAGAATCTATATCTGCTGTTGGGCTTCCAGGCCTGCCAGAGGCTTTCTCAAGGATGCTTTTCAGTTCGGAGACGAACATCATTGTCTGGACCAATTTTACATCGGAATATTCAGGGTCCCAATGCATATGGGCATTTGCTACAATAAGCAGCTGGTTATCCACTGGATGGAGTGGCTTCAAACCTAAATGCAAAGTATTGTGGTTGGAATTTAATTAATTCAATTTTCCCTTAGAGACGGATGTACTAGGAAAGCATTTTGTTTTCTTCTCTACGGCATTTAAAAAAAATTGTATAGCTCAGGTTCATAGTCTGGACAAGATCTATAGATATATGTATTCTTAGGACAAATTAGCCCCTGCAAATAGCTAGTGTTATCTGCAGTCACCCATATTCCTATGATGATGTCCTGAAGTAATGTCCACAAATTCTGTATTAGATTCTCAAAGGAGATCATGTGAAAACTGCTCCTTTGCCAGTTTCTGCACCTCTGGCAAGAGGGAAAAGCAGAGGACTGTATTTTCCAAGACAAGCACCTAATGTAATATTAGTCATCTGCTGGTGGAGAGTGGTGGATCATTCCACAGCAGAGCATGGAAATACAGTGGTGCCTCGCATAGCGAGGTTAATCCGTTCCGGATTAACCATTGCTATGAGAAACATCGCTCAACGGAACAAAAAAAACCCCATTAAAACGCATTAAACTTGGTTTAATGCGTTTCAATGGGCCCTAAACTTACTGTTGAGCGAAGCTTCTCCATAGGGGCGGCCATTTTCGCGGGAAAAGTTGCGGCGGCCATTTTGGAACCGCCGATCAGCTGTTCTCCCCTGCTTCTTAGCGATCGTTGCACAGCGAAAAAACGCCATAGGGGCCATCGCTGAGCGAACACTCTAGCGATGGCCCGGATGCCCTTGCTATGCGAATTCATCGCTCAACGGAGCGATCGCTAAGCGAGGCACCACTGTACAAACCTCAACATTTCTACTAAAAAGAGGCTGAAAAAATAACTTTGGGGATTATAGTTTCTGAAATCCCCAACCAGTTTAGGGGAATTCTACAATTGTAGGAATCCACCCGCAAACCTCAACCAGCCAGCCAGCTCTGGAAATGATATTAAGTAAGAAAGTCTAAGAAAGACACTTCCAGAGAACAGCTAAAGGTTCCTATAGATGGACTAATGGAATGACTCAATACAAGGCACATTTGTATGTTCGAAGAAAACCATGAAGACCCCTTTTGCTGATCACATGATCTTTGTATCTGTGGATATCACCCTCTTATTCCTTTTCAACATGGAGCAGAGCTATAGTGACAAAAGAAAAAGCTTAACACTTGGCATTGAGGCTTAAATGGGAAATATTAAGACGTTCTCTCAGCAAATACTCATATGCTTCCACTTGTTCAGATAATGGAGCATGGTACATATACAGACAGGACTGGTGGGCAGAAAGGCAGAAATTCTGCACATACTAATTCGTCCTTAGCAATGCTGTACAGCTCCCTGCCCTTACTTACTCCCAGTTTTGGGTGTGAAAGATAACCTCACCGCTACCCAAATTAAAAATGATTTTATGGCCATGTGAACTGGTGGGAAGAAAGGCAGACTAATTACTTCTCTGCCAAAGCATTAGCATTACAAAAATGTTATTCCAGGGTGATTTGTAATTTGGACAATCCTTCAGCAAAGCAGTCCATCAAGCTAATAATTTGTATAATCCTTGCTATGTAGGGCTTTCACTATAAAATAAGACTTCACTTTTAAGAAACCTTATGTAGTCTTTTACTCTTTTCCTTTTTTAAACACCTTGACACTCACCTGTTCCAAACAGTTCCTTATGCACCTCTAAAACAACAGCAACTCCAATGTTGTCCTTTGTCATCACTCTATTCAGCATTGCCTCTGATCCTTCAGAGTTTGCCATCGCCACTTGGTTGAACTCTACTGTGTGTTTTTGCACCAATGTGAACCTGAAACACAAGCCCCAAAGCATCAGAATCAGTATCTCTATGTAAGTTATCTTCAACGTTTTTAAAGGGTCAGAATTCCTACTTAAGGAAAATAAAAGCATTCAAGTGACCACCAGAAAGTCAAGAACATAAAACATTCCGCATTGTAATTTATATACTAAGTTCATGACCACAGTACCAACAGGTGCTGATATATTAATGTCATTGAGAACTCCTGTGTGTTTCATGTTCTGTTTCACGGAGAAATTCCAAGTCACTTCCGAACTACTGTTAACAATCACTGTTAAGATAATTATATGTGTTTCCAATGATCTATGTTTGCATTCCGATTCCCCCAAGTTCCTTTCCAACCCAAACATATTTATAAACATTTACCACTTGCTTCATCAGGCATCTGATGAAGTAGGTTACCTTCCACAAAAGCTTACGCTTTTTTTTGGTGGTTTTAAAGGTGCCACAAGATTCTTTTGTTATTTTTGCTGCAACAGACACGCACAGTTACCACTCTAGGAACTACTCCACACATGAACAGGAACAGCCTCTTACTTTTCTGTTTTGAAGAATATTGCACAACCATCCACATGCTTTCGCTCCTGCTCAGACATGATTTTGGCACGCGACTTTGGAGAAAAAAATCCATCATATCCACGCTCTTTTAATGCTGGCAGAAAGAGGGTGAAGTATTGCTCTGTCTCTACTTCCTGGAAATGAACAGTGCATTGTTAACAATGGATTAAAGAAACCTATTAGACATTTCTTTGTGGACATTTCTTCCCTTTTTGACTGTTCTGGAAAGAGTTACACAGAGAAGAGAGCACGAAGAAGGGAAGTGACATACAGCTTAATTTTTCCCTCTTATTGCCCCAAGGCTTCTCATGTTATTCGCATAGCATGACAAAGATCCCTACAGAACATAATTCAAAATATTAATAGGCACTCTGCTCAGTCCCAATACTATGTAGCACAGCACATCATCTGCTATAGCAGTTAAAGCCTATGGAAGCCCACAAGCAACATATAAAGCTATAACTATCTTCCAACTGTTATTTTCCAGTAAATAGTATTCAGCTGCATACTGCCTCTAAACCTGAACAACTGCTTAACAATCTTAGACAATAGGTATTAATTAAAATTCTATCTTGAACCATATCCTTACCTGAAGACTAATGATATCTGCATCCCAGTTCACAATTTCTTCCATGATTCCCTTTTTTCTGTATTCCCAGTTTAATGCCCAAGATGGACAATAGCCATACAGTTGTCGGGTGGCATATTTATCACACAGAACATTGTAGCACATGACGGTGAAAGAAGCTGGGAGGAAAGAAAAACAAATGTTTGGTGATGAAAACAGTGACGCAACATGCAGTCAGTTCTTCACTAAAGCTTAATTTACAGTGGTGCCCTGCATAGCGAGGTGACGCAACATGCAGTCAGTTCTTCACTAAACCTTAATTTATTTGCGAAGGCATTCATGGCTGGGATCTAATGGTTGTTGTGGGTTTTCGGGCTCTTTGGTCGTGTTCTGAAGGTTGTTCTTCCTAATGTTTCGCCAGTCTCTGTGGCCAGCACAATGCATTTCAACCTAGTGTTTGTTGCCTTGTTTGGTTTCACGGATAACTAACACTCTTTAGAAAAATAGAAACTTAAACTTGTTGCCTGAAACCCTGTTACATTGCGAAGATCGGGTATGTTTCCGTATAGCGATCCCTGTTATTTAGCATAGTAAGTCACAACTAGAGTAGGCCCACTAAATCAACAGAACTTATAAAGAAGATGACTCACGAAATCAAATTCATATCCTGCATGGCAAGGCCATCTCTTTATGGGGAAAAGTCCTATAGCCTTTCTACTACAACACGAATGGAATTCTAGTAAGTCATGCAGCAAACTGAAGCTAATCAACGAAGTGCCAGTCACATGACTAGTAGGCAACCAATACCTTGTTAATTAACTACTGCAACATACTGTACAATACATGAGTTCATTTGTGCTGGCAGAAAATCCTGACTGGCTGTCTGGAGAGCTCAGTGAGTAAGATTTCTGGTTCCAGAGACAGAAGTTGTGAATTCAATTTGCCATTGTGCCTCCAGAAAGAAAAGTCAGTCTATGTGGCCCTGGACAAGCTGCACAGTCCCACGGCAGCTCCCAGAAGGAGGGAACGGCAAACCACTTCTGAGCATTCTCTACCTACAAAAACCCTGAAGAGTGTCGCCATAAGTCAGAATTGACTTGACAGCACACAATTAATTATAATTAAAATCCTGATTGGCCAGTTCCACTAAGCGTATTTTTGCACAACTTTAAGCAGAAATTTTATGCAGTGAGATGGAAAGTTTTATTAACTTTTGTAATGTAGTGTTTTTTGTTCTGTTTGTAAAATATTGTCCCAGAGATGATGGACTGAGATCCAAATGCATTATGGGCAGTGTCAACAAAACCCTCTCAAAAATCTTAACCATGATGATCACACATCCTTGCCACTCAGTTCCTCATATCCTTCACAGAGGTTAAGACATATTATGGCTTTGACTCCCACTTAATTTACACTAGGCAGTCCTCCTAAAGCAGGTAACCAGTTGCTTAGAATTAAAGACAGGAAAACAACATCTTCTAATGTGCACCTGCCCCTGTAACTGCAGTTAACAGATTACAAGTATCCTTTCTGCACTGGCTCTGTGGTGGCAAAAACTGGAAAAACATCCACTGCAGTAGCTCCCAGCTCAGACTTTTATTAAAACGATTTATGCATGTGGAGATTTAAGACAACTTGAGTTGTCTTCTGGCTGAGGCTATCAGAATCATAACTTGCTGTTAAATACTGCTTCATACTGCTTGGCCGACCATTTCTCTTTCTGCAGCAGCACCAACAACCAAAGTCTTGTTCAGATGTTATGCCCAACATTTTCTCTAATTTTCAGACCCATTCAGCGAGGCTCTACCCCCTCGTCTGCACATGCAATTCCCCCTCCCCGCGCAGGGTTCCATTGCAGCTGGAACCACAGGGGCTGAAAACAATCGTTGTTGATGCACAGAGGAGGAGGAAGGCTGCATGGAGGAGGGGGCAGAGTTGCCTGTGTTATGCTAAAAGCTATGTACCAGGCTGGAGGGTGGTGGGGACGGAGGAACACAGAATCCCCACATATGTGTCTCCACTTCTCATGGGAGTCACTGAGACCTTCAGCTGAGGAACGCAAAATAAGCATGCTCAGCTCAACACTTGAACAGTGCTTGCATGACTGGAGCTCTATTCCCATTATAGTTCTCAACCACACATACATTGTAAATGTGTTGGACCAAACACACTTATAGGCTCTGTTGTGAACCTCTGTGTTCCTAATGCAAATATTTCACTGACTTCTAGGTGGCAAGGGAATATTGGGGAGGGGGAGATACAGTTTACCAGTACCCCACTTCCTCAGCACCCTTTTAGATCTGTACATAGTTTCAGGCGAAACACAAGAATAAGGTTTAACCCAACATGCAAACCTTGGGTCTTCCAGAGATGTCTCCAAATCTGAGCAGCTGTCTGACTGCTGCTGTCACCCTCTAGACCTGCATGCGATTTCTGTTCCAGGAAGAAGCCTAGCCTAATTATGCTAAAAAGCTGGACAGACAACTTATTAATTGTCTCTACATGTATCATCAAGGGTAAATAAGAACTGACAAATAAGTAAGACCACCATCTCCTTTCTTTCTGTTTCTAATTGTTCCTTATATATGATCAAGCTGCTTTCTATAGCTGTGAAAGCCATCTGTTGGAAGTATAGCAATGACTTAACTGCATTCAAAAAAAAAATAGACTCTATTAAAGAGGAAACAGGATGAACAATATTTACCTGAGGGCAGAATTTGGTCTCTTTCTTTTAATGTAATCCACGGTCTTGGAGGCAGCTGCTCTGGATGAACTGAAACACCAAAAAGAGACTATAAGGGAGGGTTAGAAACTATCATATCCCTGAAGTGAATCTGCTACAGTTATAATCAATACAATATCACAGAATCTTTAGATGCAAATGTCTGCTCCCCCCTCCAACAACATAGTGCCCTTTAAAGTAGTGTTTTGACTTTATCTCTTTGAGCCTTAGCTTCACTAAAATTTCCAAGCAAAGTAACATTATTATGACTGTTTGGTGACAATTTTGCCCAACCAGACAAATGCTTATCTGCCATTCAAATGAGTAAATGTGACCTCAAGAACAGCCATATTTTGAGGTTACTGTTGTACTGAATTAAGTAAAGCTTGTTTAATGCATAACACAGTTGCCCAATTTCTCACGAAAATAACTTCAGAGTCCAGGGACTTCATGACATTGTCAAAAGTGTGTGCAATATTTACTGTGTCATCAGATAAAAACACCCACAGCAGTAGCAGTAGTTGCAAAATATGGTCTGTGCTGGCATGCAACATTCCTCGTGAGGGGGATGTGCCACAATTTCCCCCAGCAGCTGAAGTAGTTTTCAGGGGCATCCACTCCATGAAGGCTTAATTAAAATTAAACATCACCATTTCTATTTGGTACTCCACTCCAGTACAACTGAGAATACCCATACACCAGTCCAGCAAACTGTTCTGAGAATGACAAACCTGATCTGCATCCACAACTTCCCATCTTGAAATGACCTCTTTGGTTTTCCTTATTTAAATCAGAAATGGGCAGCTCAGTAGCCTCCAGAAGTTGTTAAACTACATATCCCATTATTTCATCATCAGTCATGCTGGCTGGAGATGGAATCTGACAACAACTGGAGAGCACCAGAAGTTTTTACTCTGAAATGAACCGAACAACGGGTTCACACAGATTCCTTCCTACTGATGAACAAATGAAAACCCTTATCAAACAACAAATACATCCTTGATCTAACCAAAGATCTTTATTGCCTTCAAACCCAGTACATCTCCTGAGGTACTGGCACCCATCTATCCTCTCTGGCAGAGGAGCCAGTCCTTGTAAATAACAGCTCCCAAGGATTCTGGACTACTACTTCCAGAATCCCTGCCAGAATAGTTCCTTGTCATGTCAGCTAAGGGATTGTGGGAGTTGTAGTGTTAAAAAAGGTAACTTTTCCAATTTCTGCTTTAAGCACTATGAGGCTGTATATAAGCAGAACACTTTGCTTTAAGAATGGGATACGCTGTTTTGTAGTTCACAGATATGTACTTGGCATACACCCTATCAACATAATCCACCAGAAGGTAAACATTATGCTGGTATAAAAATTCTTACCTGCTAGATTGTCAAGCATGTAATTCAACAATTTCCGTGTCCCATCTGGGTCCTGGTACAGGCTGAGAATATCTTGTGATAAAGGATTGCCTAAAATCAAAACAGTGTTCAAAGCCAGTTTACAAGTGACACTGCACAATATTCAAAGCTTCTAGTAAGTCAGTAGAAACTGGAACAGCATTCTCCCCATTTGTTTCAAGGGTAGTGTACCAAAACATTAAGAAATCAAGCCCTATAAGGAATGGTTAGAATTATTGATTAGCCTGCTGAAGAGATGACTGAAAAGGGAGATGACAGGCATCTTCAAGAACCTGGAGGACGGTCTCTTATAAAATGGAGCATTTGTGTTTTTTTCTGTTCCAGACAGCAGAACGCAAAACAACAGTTTTAAATTGCAAGACTTCAATCCAAGGGTTCAAACTGCAAGACAGGAAATTTTAACTGAAGATTGAGAAAAATTTCCTGACAGTAACCACACTTGGAAGTTGCAATTGACCTCACTGGGTATTTTTAAGAATCAATTAAAAACTTGGATGTTTCGGCAGGCCTTCCCATCAGATAATTCCTGACGTCCTTCTCTTCCCCCTCCTATTATTTCCTCTATCTTGGTTAATGTTTTAGTTATGTAAACATTGTTTTTATATGTATTTATTGTATTACTCTATGTTGTTAGCCGCCTAGAGTGGTCCTGAACCGACCAGATAGGTGGGATATAAATAAAATAAATATTAATTATGTTGTCATCCAGCTGCAAAAAGGTATATTCATCATTATTTTGACATATTTTTGGAGAATAAAAAACAGGCACAAAGGTATTTGAATATTTTGATTCATAATCAATGACCTTCAATAGTTTCGAAGATACCTACATAGGACACTGTAATTCCATACCTAGGGAAAATACTCCACTTAGATGTTCAATGCACTAAATAGAAAGCCGGCCTTACTGTGGAGTGCCATTATGGCATACAGGCAGAAGTAGGCAGGTTTTAACCCATCCTTTGGTCACAGTCAGAGGCCTTATGTTGTGTGTTCTTTCTGTGCAACTGACAACTCTTTCATACCTGATCTACTTTCTCTGATTATGGGGAAAGCCTTGTCCTGGAAAGAGACTCATAAAGGGATTGGAAAAATGGTGAAGAAATATTGCAACACTTGGGGCTTGTTGTAATAGACAAGTAGAGAGGGACACGGATGCATACAATTATGAACAATATGCCGAAAATGCATTGCTCATAGCCATGCAAGAAATGGACAGTGGCACCCTATAGTTTTCCCGACCACCAGCACACTGAACCAACCTGGCAGGCGCCTACACCAGGTTAAACAATGGCAGTGGGGCTGAGTGGTCAGTGGATCCTCTCTGTGGTGTGGCCGGTACCCTTCACATGCACTAAACAAATGTATGTTTTTAATCCGTAGAAGAAGGCTGGTTCCTGTGCTCACCACAGTTCTGATACTTGTCCTTTTCCTCCGTTACATGCATGTACTTAGTCTCATGGACCAAATGAATTGACAATACAAGGAATTCTCCTAAGCATTAAGCTCAGAATCATTAAAAATGCAACACATAACTAGTAACGCAACTGTCATTACAAACACAGTTTTTTTTTTGACAGTGGCTTGTACAAAAGTAGTATAGAAAAGAGATGACAGATACACACGATATTCGCCCCATATTCAAAGTTCTTAAAATACAGAAAGCAGAGCTCAATAATATTTTCTAGTGAGCAAACAAATATATGGTGTTCTTTTATCTAAAGCCAGTTCTTCACGGAAACTATCCCTTCCTTGCATTCTCTGTGAAACTGCAGGAGGAGAGACTGACAATGTCATTAATTAATATAAATGAAGGACTTCAACTTGATTCAGCACAAGGTTAGATTGAGACAAAAGGGCAGAAAATAAGCCAAAATAAAATAAAAAGAGTTCATAACTAATATAAAATTGATTATCCATTGAATACTGAGACAGTGGGGCTAAAAAACATATCATTTATACTACTTTTAAAAGCTGTCCATAATCTCCAAGATGTACCAAGAATCTGGTACAGAAATGAAGGGAGACGGAACGGGAAACAGGAAGAACCATGTTTGCACATGATATTTACTATATATCCTTTACCTTTCAAACCTAGGGTTTGTAGCTGAAAGAGCCGTCCAAGTTCATAAGGCAAAACTCGTAACAAATTGTTGTTCAAAAGCAATTCCCTAAAAAACAAGACAAATGCTTTCATTCACTTACTGTACATTCTGTGTATCTTGTAAAATGTAACAAATTCACATACTGTACTGCATTCTGCATATTTTGCAAAAGATGAACATGTTTTGCTATACTGAATAACAAGAAGGGGCAGGGCTGTTTATGACAATGTCTGAATCTGATAGACCCTGGCATTCTGTCATGTCTTTCCTCTTGATAAGCCAGAGAAATAAATGTAAGGCATGGGTTATTTCTAGAGAACCCATCAGTTTGGCAATTTTTGCTGGTTCGTTTACTGGATGAACAGGTGTTTGGCACTTCAAAGCCCTGCCTTCTCTGGTGGGCGCCCACTCAGAGGCAGCACTTAGGAGGCGGCAGGGCAGGGAAGACAGGCCGCTGCCTCTGAAAGGACACCCACTAGGAAGTGGGGCTTTGAAGCACCAAACAACCTGTTCAGCTGATAAACAAACCGCAGAAATGGCAGTTCATGCCCATCTCTAGTTATTTCTCTGGCTTGACAGGGAGAGAGAAACCAAACTACTAGGTTCCATCACTTTAGAAGATTATGATAAACAGTTGCATAAATATGTTGGCTGCCAACCAATGAAGAAATGCATGTGGCATACAGTAACATATCCATTTCCTGACGCTACCATATATACTACCATCTACTTCCCCATCAGCCAATGCACACATTAAAAAAGTCAAAAGATTTATAAGATAAGCTCTGAAACATTACATAAAAATTGCCTACTGCTACATTAAACAATAAGTAAAAAAATCTTTGTGTACATGTTTTGAAAGTGACAACACTCCTTACCTGAGAGATACCATGTTTCCTAATTCTGCTGGTAAACTTCTGAGTTTGTTGGACGAGAGATCCAGGTAAACCAGATTATGAAGCTTGGCAATATCAGGCGGAATGCGAGTCAGATAGTTGTCATTGAGGTGGAGAGCAGTCAAGTGCGTTAGTGACCAAAGTGACGTACTTAAGCTCCGCACTCTACCTAAAATGAATAGCATGCAGAAAGTGTTAAGCATTCAGACAGGTTTTTCTATAAACCCAACAGGTATACTGACATACGGAATAATGTGCAAGAAAAAACAAACAAACTTGCATCGATAACACATTAATCAATCAATCTCCCTAACCCACCCACAGAACTTATTATCTGCAAATCAAGAATGTGATCTTTCTGACAGAGTGCACAATGCTTTCTGTACTCTTTAACACAAATAGTGTAGGCTTGAGGAACATAACTATTAGCTTACAAGAACTACATACTCTTTACCAGTGGTTTCCAATGCTGAATTCCAAGATACTGTTGGACAACAGTTCTCTAAATTCCTGACGTGATAGTCCAACAAGGTCTGGGAGTCGAGGGTTGGAGACCATGGATTTACACCACTTAAAGCAGAGGGGAACAAAAGGCTGCACGATTCCTCCCTGGGGACCCAAGTGACCCCTCAGCATCCCTATTGCAGGAACTCCTTGTGTTTTTTAAAAATGTTTGCTCTGAAAGTCCCTTTCCCCTATCTTGGTACAGAGGTAATTTTGCCATGAACCACCAGATAATTTAAGCAGAAAAACATCTTCTTCTTCAAAATAAGGCTTCATCTAGAAAACAGAGAAAATGTAAACTTTCTCCCTTGGCCACTAGAGGGAGCACGTGTCCCTTTACATTTTTTAAAAACAAAAACCATTGGGGTGTGGGGTGCCCCGGGATTTGCAGATCTCCAACATTTCACAAGTTGTGTGCAGTCCCTCGACCTCTAGAGGTTGCCCATCTGTGACTTAAAGGAGGAAAAAAATGTCCTTCAACCTATCAAAAACATCAAAACTAATAAACACTGTGCCATTGCTCTTTCCCCAGAAAACCCCTCTAATACTTTCAGAAAGCAGCAGCAATATTAGGAACAGGCCTGGGAGACATATTTTAATAGTGATGTTAAATTTCTAGAAATTTTGATCGTATTGTTGGGCAGAAATAGTGTTTAATATTTTACAGATGGATATAAACACATATACAGTGGTGCCTCGCATTACGATGTTAATTCGTTCCAACGAAATCGCTGTAGAACGAAAACACTGTAAAGCGATTTTAAAAAGCCCATAGAAACGCATTAAAACCCGATTAATGCGTTCCTATGGGCTTGCAACTCACCGTCCAGCGAAGATCCTCCATAGCGTGGCCACTTTCACTGCCCGTGCAGCGAGGAATCCGTCCCAAAAAACAGCGGGCAGCCATTTTTTAAACCCGGCGGCCATTTTGAAACCACCGATCAGCTGTGTGAAAATATTCGTCTTGCGATAATCGGTTAGCGAAGCAGGTAACTGATCATCGCAAAGCGAAAAAACCCCATAGGAAACTTCGTTTTGCGATCGCTTTTGTGATCGCAAAAACTTCTTCATTATGCAATTTCTTTGTTACACGAAGCGCTCGTCTTGCGAGGCACCACTGTAGTGAGTAAATGTATCCCAGCTTTATTTCCCTTCCCACACAAAAATGGGAGAGGAGCCTTCTCCGTAGCTGCTCCTTTAGACTCTGGAACCCCCTCCCACTGGGGGCCAGACTGGTCCTCTCTTTGCTGTCTTTCCTTCATCAGACAAAGACCTTTCTCTTCAGGCAAGCTTTCCCTTAGTGACTGGATGCCTAAGTGGCTTTTTGATGGATAGTTGTGCCTTACACTGCTTTGAATGTGGTTTTGGCGCTGCCTCTGTTTACTATCTTTAAGTATACTTTTTGTCTGACCCTTTTTAGTATTTTTACACTTACTATTTTTAGCTTTCAATATTGTCTTTTAATGATGTAAGCTGCCTTGAGTCCTTCTCAAGGAGAAAGGTGAGGTAAACATATTTTAATTTTTTTAAAAAAAATGCTCATCCATAACCCACAAGGCTCTCTCTTACTTTCCCACTTCACCCTTTTGATTCCATATTTAATAAGAGAGTTATAATGAGCTGAAATCATTCAGCTTTAAGGCTGCCTCATCTTCCGTATTACATGACACGAATTATTTTTTAAGTGAACATAATCTCCTCCACGGGAGTCACATGACCTCTTCAGTTTCCTCTGTATCTTTTTTCTCCCCGGGGACTTTGTGTCTCTAAAACTTCCTTTTCACTCACCAGAAGGAATTTTAGAAGGCATTTTAATTCAGGATAATGACTCACCCCAGCGCTTGTTTTGCATGCAAACCAATGCCTGGCATCCCTTCCTTGAAGAGCTAGCCAGTGAATCCTCACTGGCCCAAGAACATATTTATCAGGCAAGCATACATCTGTACTAAAGGAGCCAAGTAGAATCCCACAACACATAGCAGGCACGCCATTTACTTGACAACTCACCTGAGATTTCCAATTCTGCCCAATGGGACTTTTTCCCATTGGCTACCTCCTCTGCTGACATGATGGTGTAAATTCTGCGGGGATCTGGAGGATCATATTTTTCCTTTGGCATCCCTGTTAGTCTGAAAGATAAGACATATCATTATTTCAACACGCAAACTTACAAATGTCTCTCTCATCACTGCATAGTTTGCCAGACTAATAGTATAGACTGGTGTAAGAGAAAGCTTTGGCTACAACTAGTTTCATTTCATCTACACCCAGAACTATCTATGTTGCATTAAAAAAATACATTTGGGGGACGTGCCTGATTTGAGAGCCCAGGGGATAAACGCAAGAGCAATACAGAACCTTCCTACATCCAGAGTTGATTCCCAGAGGTTTCTCTCCCAAAACACTTTTGTCCTCTGATACCAGAAGTGACTGTAAACAGACAAAACCTCATAAGGTGGAACTGCAGTAAACCTAATCAGCAAGCTCAAGGAATGGTCTGTATCTCTCACACAAGAAGAATCAGACATTTTCCCTCATCTTCTATGTCACTGGGGTATGCACAAATCTGAACATACAGAACACGTGGTAAATTGAAACTACAGTTTTGTTCTGAAATTGTATTTCCTTCATAAGCTTTCGAAAAACAATTACATCATAGAAGATCAATTTAATATTTATATTCTCCCATAACTTACAATCAGTAACATAAAACAAAACTGATGCCACCTCCTCAAAAAAAAAAGCTCTATTAAGTATACTGAAATGAAGCACATAATTAACTGCATTATTTTTTAGGTTAACAATTATACAAGCTGGTAAGGAAAACTTTTCTTTAGAATGACAACATACTTCTCAGAAAGACAACATGTAACAACTGTCTCCAGAGAAGTCCAATCATTTTTGCCCAGGCCCTTACAGCTAGATGACTGTGTCCTTTCTGCAACCTCAACCTTGCATCCAAACAACAATCCATGTTCTTGAAAATGTTAGATGAGGAAGGCGTCTCTTCACCATCCCCTTTAGACACCATATTATATTTATCATATTTGTACGGAAGGGCATTTAATTTCACTGCTTTTATAACTTCCATAAAAGCATTTGCTGCCTTAGATCTGTAGCTACAGGTCTGAAAGGAAGACAGCATCTGAGCTCGTGGTGGAAATTTTGGTGGAAAACTTCCTAATCCATTTTAAGCGGCCACAGAAAAATGTTTTATTTATGCCTTGTACTGCCAAAGATTCACTCATGGAAAAAAGTATTATGTGATTTAAAACAAGCAACGGACACCATTCATAGAGGATTTTTACTAAAAGTGAGAGTTCTTAGAAGTCCATTTAGATTGCTTCCTTCAGATGATTCATGCTCGTAGGCTCAGTGTTTACAATATATACGTGTTTACCATGTCCTCATACAAAAATTTTGAAGAACTCTCTATACTGACAGTATTTGGCTAAAATACAACCAAAATACTTCCCTACATCTGCTTTACCTTTTTATTTGGGTTTTCTCTTTCAAACATACAGTTATATGTATTTTGCTATGGTTCCTTTATATACATTTTCCCATCAAAAGCAGCTTTTTTTACAACTTTTACCACAGGATCTTCATATCTTTGTCTTCAAAATACTTACTCTAACAATCAATGGCTGAGATTGTTTATGAAGCTATGCCTTATAAGATGGATGACATCACCAGCCACAGTAATTTTTCAGAAATAATAATAAAAATCTGATCCCCTCCTTATGTCCCAAAGCTCCCATGGAATCCCCTTTGCTATGGGGAAGCTGTTGGGAGGCTGCAGGATAGGAGGGGGTGTCTTTCATTTCAGAGACTCACAACCAGCATTAAAGTCATCCTTGTGGTGAAAGTTTTTGGAAATAAAAAAACTGCCTCCCCATGCCCCACAGTTCCCAACCACTTACCCATGGCAAAAAAGCATTCAATGGAAGCCTCAAGATTTTTAAGGAGAATAGGAAATTCTTATTTCCCAAAAAATGCCACAGCAGATGATGTCATCAGTCTTACACAGCGCAACTTACAGAACAGAATTCTAGCTCTTGTATAAGCTGATGAATAAATCAAACAAATATTAAACTTTACACTATAAACCATTCATTAATGATCTTATGTTTGTTCATTCCAGTTGAACGTTCAGATAGTTCGAGGACACAAAGTTTATATCTTGTAAAGATTCCTTCAAAATAACCCACAACAACTGGCATCAGTATTTAGCAAAGGCAAAACTGAACTCCAGACTAGAGCTTTCTGAGAACACCCTTGGAAACACATGTTGCATCAAAGCTGCCACATACCAGTACGAAGCACAACTGTATTAAGAAAAAAAGAAGTGAAACACTTTCGGGTGGAGTGGGGACTAGTCTCTGAGGCCTTTAGCAGTGATAAAGAAATAGAGCTACAAAAGCAGCTTGTATGTCTTTCTCTCCACAATTAGAAAAGTGACACCTGTTAAAATCCCACTCTCTACAGAACTATTTAGAGAGACTGTAACCTTCTCCAGGACTGACTCTCCCAACACCTGTTCCACACATACCCTGGCTACTCTGAGCTTCTTAACAACAGCATCATATAGAACAGCAAGCATGCCAACAAATGTCAGACCATTCTGCATGTTTCTTACAGAAAAATGTAAGCATGATTCGAAGATACAGTAAGTACATAAGATTTCCATTGAGTGGAAAGGAACAGAGCATATTTCCCTAACAGAAGAACGTCCCGAACGCCCAACTCAAACCAACACCCCTGAAAACCTGAACCCAGGCAGGCAGAGATGTTTATTTCTTTAGAACATAGTGTGTGGATCAGAACATGGGGAAAGCTTCTCATACTGAGACCTTATGACCACTTCTGTCATAGAGTATCCACAGAGTGACTCCTGGTGTTGTCATGCAAAGATAAACACTATGCATAGCCTTAGACATGTTCTCTAGCTGCTGGCATATTCATACAGGACAACAGGGATAATCATATTACAAGGTCAGAACTTTGACCCCTGAAATTATAGATACAGATCTATGATTCTACTCAGCTATAGCTCTCACAGCCAAATAAGAGCCTTGGGAGTTGAGGTCCCAAACTTTCCACTCACACTTGTGAGTTTCCAGTTGCTACTCACATGAACTATGCTGTATGTCAGATTTCTTTGCTTTGGGAACAGAGCACTAACTCAAGAGCAGATCCAGTGCTTTGTGTGCAGAAGGTTAACCTCCTCCACTTAAAAAGATCTTGAGGAGCAGGTCTGGGAAAGACAATGAGCTACAGTGTAAGGAAGATCCATGCATTGACTAATTTCGTTCTTTAAGATTTTTATTTTTCCAACTGTACTGAACACTAAAGCCTTTAACATGTTAGCCAGTTTGCAATACTGGCTAGCAACAGTTAGTTATGAAACCGCTTTCTGTTAGCATAAATTCTAAACTATTTCTGAAAACAGTTTTAGAAGAGGTAGCCGTGTTAGTCTATGCTAGCATATCAGGCCAAAAACAAAATTAAAATTAAAAAAGACAAAAATGTGTCACCTTAAAGATTAACTGCTATATGTTAGTGGCGATTTCTGCTGATATGGTATTTAATCTGTTTATAAAATTCTAATTGAGGATATCCTTTTCCCAGTAGCAGCCCTAAAAAAAATTCCAGATAATTACAAACAGATTTCAAGTGTATACTAATATGAAACAAAGAAAACCTGTGGCACCATTTTCAGAGCCATGAAGATGCAAAAATTACTGAAGAGAACAGCTGCAGTGCTCATTAAAACAAGAACCATGCAGCAGCCTGTATGTCTCACCTTCCTCAACACTGCATATGCAAAACCAGAAGAAATGAAGTCTTGGGAACATGCAAAACAGAAGATTTGCTTCCAGCTCTTCAAAGAGTCTGCAGCTGCTTCATATTTTCAGAAGTATTAACAGAGTGAGCAAAAAAGAAAGACTCCAGGTGAAGCTTAACTAGTCTGGTGGCCTACCATTAAAGTTCAGCCTCTAAATCCTAACTGCTCATTTCAGAAGATAAACAAGTTTATTTTGAATATTTTAAACATCTCCAGACTCTGTAAACACCATTTTAGGAAAAAAAAAGTTTTAAAGAGGTAAAATAATCATGTTGCTTTCTGGGATTATTTACCCCACAGCTGTCTTCCCTAATTCAGTTCTCTACAGATGTACTGGACTGCAAAAGACAAATTAACAAGTTTTAGTACTACCCTACTAAAAATTAGATATCTTTGATAGATGAGTGACGGCTTATCAAATGATATCTACAAACAGCCATCTAAATCCTACCTGGGTGAGCTTACTACCTTCCTTATCTCTTTGCGGGAGAAAAATATTTCTGACTAAAAATGAACCCAGTTTGTTTGTTTGTGCATACGGTCAGCTATGCATTTGTCAGTAATTTACATGCCCCCATTATACAACATCCTTTGTGAAACAAATCATGCAAATAGTCCTAAAGAAGGTTGACCAAGGACTAATACACAGCCCCTTTCTATAAATTCTTCAGTCATGGGATACCAGCATATGTTATTTGTACAATTCTTATCTGGCAATCTTAATGTAAAGACTAGTCCTTTGATCCCTTAACGTATATGGGTGCTAAACAAGATCCTGGTTCAGTTTCTATCTAAATGAAACCTAAACTGTTCTGCTCAAATATCTTTGTCAGGGAGTCACAAAAATTACAAAAGTTTTTGACAGACTCAAAGGACTGGCTACTTATTGACTGCCTATGTGAAACACAACAGTGGCCTAGCCCAAACTGCAAAGGCATGTGGTGAGTTTTAGCTGCCTTTGTATTCCCCTCCTCACAGCATACAGGATTACAGTGGTGCCTCGCTTAACGATTGCTTCGTATAACAAAAAATTCGCTTAATGATTTTTTTCGGAGCGATCTTGCGCTTCGTTTAACGATTTTCCCTATGGGCGATTTTCGCTTAACAATTTCGGGACCATGGTTTGCTTAACGTTTCTGGTTTTAGGTCCCCTTGTTTCGCTTAACATTTTTTTTGACAGCCCTGTTTTCGCTATTTTTAAAATATTCTAAAATGTTTAAAAAATGTTTAAAATGCTTGGAATCGTTAGTGCACCTAATAAAACCTTCGTTAACTTCATTT